AAATAGTAATTTATAAAGAAAGAGAAAACTATGTACATATGTAAATACACAGATAGTGCACATCTGTATAAGATAGAAATATATATACAGTGATCACGTAACCCTAAGTAAATAATATCAATAGATTTTGAAGAATTTTTTTATTCTTTCTATTTTTAGACTGATCTAAAATTTTATGCTTTTCTCTTTTGTTTAGTTCATATTTTTTCCTTTTCGTTGAATGTGTTGGGATGACACTAGTTATCAGAATTATGCAGGTTTCAGGTGCACAATTATGCAACACATCACCTGTGCACTGTATTGTGTGTTCATCACACGAAGTCAAATCTCTATCCAAGTCCCTTCACATTTTTTTTTAAATATATTTTATTGGTTTTTTACAGAGAGGAAGGGAGAGGGATAGAGAGTTAGAAACATCGACCAGCTGCCTCCTGCACACCCCCCACCGGGGATGCGCCCGCAACCAAGGTACGTGCCCTTGACCGGAATCGAAGCCGGGACCCTTCAGTCCACAGGCCGATGCTCTATCCGCTGAGCCAAACCGGCCAGGGCGTAGTTTCCCTTTTTTAAATGTCAAGAGCTCAAGCAACAGAATTGAACAAATTGTAAACCTGGGGTTCAAAGATGTGAAAACATAATAGGCACAGAGACATTGTTTTCATCATTTTCTCTCTAATAAAAGTAGTAATTTTGAAAAAAAAAAAGTAGTAATTTTGTTTCTTTATGTTGGCATCACTAATAAGTCATTCTTGTGTTATTATTTCTTTTCAGGAGCCAGAGAAAAATCAGAGACTACCCCTTCTCAGCTGCTCCTGTCTGAGGGATCCTCACTTCGGGCATGGATGAGGCAGGGAGCTTCAAGGGAATCCAGGGCTGGAAAAACCAAAACTCAGGAAGGGCTGTCGGAAATGCAAGAAGTCTTAAGGCCAGTGACAGACCCCCACAAGGAGATGAACCCTAAATGCAATGATTTGGGGTCAGATAATAGTCTACGCTCAAGGGTTTTACATGAGCGAGTCTCTCTAGTAGGTGTTCTCCATAACAGTGATACACACAGACTAAAAGACCCCAGGAATCAAACTGGGAAGAACAATTATGAATAT